TGTCACAATAGTGTTTTAACAGCCACAGTGCCATTGCCTCAAGATCACAAGATCCATACAGCCCCTTACCAATATAAAATGCTATATGGTATCTAACTGAAATGGACAAATAATTCAAGTTTTCCATGAATATTAGAGATGGGGTTCTCAACCTTTTCCTTTCTGAGCCTCCGCCCCCCCACCCCCAACATGCTATAAAAACTCCCCGGCCCACCTGTGCCATAACAACTGTTTTGCTGCATATAAAAGCCAGGGCCAGTGTTAGGGGATAGCAAGCAGGGCAACTGCCTGGGGCCCAACACCACAGGACCCCCACAAAGCTACATTTCTCAAGCTTCAGCCCCAGATGGCGGGGCTCAGGGCCCCAGGCTTCAGCCCCATGTGGTGGGGCTTCGGGTTCCTGCCCTGTGTCCCAGCAAATGTAATGTTGGCCCTGCTTGGTGGACCCCCTGAAACCTGCTTGCAGCCCCCCGGGGGCCCCAGACCTCTGGTTGAGAACCATTGTATTAGAGCAAATCTTCAAATGAATTGGATTCAGCCATCCTTATGATCATTTTGCATTCACTATGCAAGAACATATGAGCAACTGAGTTTTCTTGGCCTTAAGAAGTGGATTTCAAAGTCACACATGCTAGTATTTGCAGTTGACCATTCACATACTTATCTAACCACAGAACAGAAACAACAAACATGATTTATTCCACCACTCACCTCTAAGCAATGCAACTTGAATTTCTTGATCAAACCACAGAGTAAAATATTTGAAAATACATGCACTGACTAGATTTCAGGAAATTGCAGATCTTTTGGAAGCAGATAGAGAGGCTACGTTAATCAAATACGTCATTCTGAATTATTTTACTTCACGGGGAACCTCCTTGTGAGCCTGATAAGTAAGAATTATTTTCCTGATTTTACAGGAAAAACGAGATGTACCAAGTTATGTAACTTGCCCAGGGCCAGCAAGTCAACGGCACATTTAGGCTTAGAACTCAAGCTCTTTCTTGAGCTTTGACCAGGCTTGTAAGCACAACACAACAGTATAGGATCAGAAGAGAAGAATTCTTTATCCAAATACAAATGCAGGTAGAGTGCAGGGAGGAAGAATGCAGGAATCCATGTTGGAATATGGCCAGGAAAGCAGGACCAACATCCCTACCCTTCTTAAAAAATGGCAAGGAATATTTAATGAATAAAAGGATTCATGATCTTGGGTTTACTTCTCAAAGCCATGTATCCTCAGTTCTCACAGCATGGTAAATCTACGTCTCCCCTCTACACAAAGGCCAAATTCATCACTGGTTAAGCTCCATTTAATCCAATTATTATTGTTCAGTGCAAATTTTTTGCCCTGCTCTAAAAAAGCTTAGTAGTATTAAACATCAATTATTATTGTTCTGGGCAAATTATTTGCCTTGCTCTGTTAAGCTTACTGGCCTTTCACTAGAGATCAGTTTGACCCAACACACTTTCCCCATTTTCAGTGGGGAAATTAACAAGACAAAGTATTTTTTCCTTAGAGAGAAAGAGAGAAGTTCACTTTCTTTTGTCTAAAATACATATTTGATACCATAATTTTAATCAGTATTGTCTTGTTGAAGAAACCTGCCGAGTACGTGGTAGTGCATTTCAGAGCAAATAGTACCATACATTAACATATAGTACAGTCTTTTTCAAGATCGCTGATATTCTTATTGTCTGACATAGGGTGTAGGTGTTTGTAATTATATAGCTTCTTGATTTGGTGCCTATCTGGATTGTCCCATTCATGATTATACTTTGATTGGTACTTATCCAGATCATCCCATTCATAAGGTGATTTACAAGCTGAGATGGAGGCAGGCAGGCAAAGCAGTAATTAAGGGAATACCAGAAGTGCTGTTTCACATGACAGGAGTATTTCATATGCCTGGTATTCTTAGAAATTCCTCAGACAGTTTGGTTTGCGAATACATATCAGATGCCCATTGGAAGTGTCTCCTTTGGGGTTGACTCCATCTATCTTAAAAATAGAGCTGAGGAATGTGTGCACAGTGAATCTGGAGATTTGCAAATCTAAAAATCCATTAACTGAGTGCTAAATTTGTGCTAATTCCTAGATTTCTGAAGGATTAAGGGTGCACAGTGTAAATATTTAGAGGTCTAGTCTCTTATGATAAATATGCATAGCGCATTAATAGGAATGGAAGTTACACGTCTACATGAGAAAACAGACCACTAAGCTATTAGTGTACACACAAAAAACCACTACAATTAGCTGACAATTTAGCCACCCTGTCTAACAAAGCCATATAGCACCCTAGCAGCCTTAGAGGAGCAACTCCTCTCTCCTATAAGCAGTAGAGCAGGTTCTGCTGACACAGATGTCTTTCACAAATTTCAGAAATGTGGGGGGTAGGGGTGTTTTCATTTTAAATCACATTAAGGTACAGCAGCATCTCATTTATTATTTGTTGCATAACAGTGTGATAAAATATTATAGAACAAACGGGAGGCACCTTTCCAGTTCAGAAATATATGGATCCTTAGTGTTTTATTAGATTTCATCGATTGATGTGACATTTTTCATAAGTTCTGTAAAACATGAGCCAACATATAACACTGGACCCTCTAGTCACACATGTGATGGATTAAACTGCAGACTATGTAAATTGTTAACTAGTTGTATTTTATTTGTGTATTTTAAAGGTCAGCATAAATACTGAAAAATGTTTTTTGTTTTAAACAAAGTAACTTTTAAACTGTTTAAAGCCTTCAACTGGAAGACAGTCTTTTGTCTCCCAATTAAGAAAGGAAGCCATTAAAACATTATCTATTGATTTAGAAGAAGTTTTATGTGTTACATGGATCTAACAATACCAGATAAAAGACAGATGTTATCTGACATTCTTGTCTCCAAGGAAGGAAAATAGAGCTATAATCTCACAGAAAAGTACCAGCTTTTCTTGGGTTCCAAATCAGATAACTGCTGTTATTCAAATGGCACTGACTGGTAGTTCAAGGAAGCACGATGGGTTATGCACTAACTTTCCACCTCTGTAAAACTGTGTTCAAAATTGGCTTTTTTGCAAATGAAAACGAAAAGAGTGGTCCTAGTCCGATCTCTGGGTTATGTCGGTGCCTATTACAAAACCACCATACACCTATTAATCTGTGCACAGTAGGCCAGTGATTATAACAACAGGTCTATGCTTAGGTGGCTTGGCAGAGTTGTGAGAAAGCTTGAAAGAAATTTCGGAGCCTAGCCTCAGTCTGAGCCGTGGCTTAAACCTTTACACTTATGAACAAATTTACCCCCAGATTTTTTTTTAAACAAGGAACCTGGCATGAGTGGTACAAAACCTATTCCCAAAACACAAAGAAACAGCTTTGGAAATTCTTGAAGAGGAGACCAAAAACTGAGTCACAATGGGAGGGGAAAAAAGCTTTACAACAGAGAAAACAGACAATACTAAGCAGTACTGGTCAAAAGTTCCCTCTCCCATTCCATTATCTCCAGGCTTGAGATTGCATTTAAGCAGTTCTTCAGTCTTTCATCACTTCTCTCATTGTATAATTATTCCTAGGTGGCCTGGGTTTTCTGCAACGGAAATTATTTACTGTGCTGTTAAGACATGTATATGTCTTGGCTGAAAAGGCAGGCATTCCCAGTTGACAAACTCTCACAACATTACCATTTATTTTAATATCTGAAACCAATATTCTGCTTCTCAGTTCCACCCCAGTATGAAACAAATACAACTCTCAGCTTATCCCTGTCAACAAAACAGGAAAGGAAGTAGATATCAAATATATATACTAATCATAGAAGGTTCAACAGGTGGACCAAGGATATGACCATTAGAACAGGCATGTTGCGAACCAGCAAAAGGGTTTTTTCAGACATGCTCACACTTCGGAAAGTGGGAAGCACTGCCAAGTTTTGTGACTGTTTCGGGGGGTTAACTAAGATTGAAGTCTATGTGAGCAATTCACAGCAAATTTCACATGCAGGTCTTATGCAAAGCCAACTTTACAACTACTGTAATAAAGGAGAACCAGAAACAAGGAGTTGAAAGTGCATAAAGCAGATAACATTGTGTCCCCAAACATAATGAAGTTAAGCACTGTAAAACCAAAGCCAGAACCTCACAGTGTTAACCAGAGAGAGACCAAATTTGACTTGCACTCTGGGTTCTTTTACTAAGTTATCTTGTTAAACTCTTGCAACGTAATTCAGTTTCAGTGCATCATTTGCAAGGTCTAAAACACAGATACTACAGAAACTAGAAAATACAAGGTCTTCAAAACTGTGAGATAATATCTGTTATTCTGTAACTGCAGCTTTAAAACACCTGCTTTAAAAACACATCCAACTTACATTTTCAGTGAGTCATCACATCTGACTGGCACTGCCAAGGTTCCCAAATATGTTTAAAAGTACAAACAGGTTTAAAGTAAAGTAATATGTTTAAAGTTACGGGAGCCCTATGTAAGAAAGACACAGATTTACTTTAGAATAATCAAAAATGACAGCATTATGAAAACAGAAAAGGACTTTTACAGAAAACTCTGTCTGTAAATTGAGAAAAAGAAACTTACAAATTGACCTATTCCTGCTTACAAAATGATATATGAACAAAACTGACTAATATGAGTTATATGAATTGCAGCCTGCTGATAACGGTCTTGTTTGATGGAGTCTCATTCTGACTGAGCTTGCAATCATTGCAAGCCCCATTTTGCCATCACAGAAAAAGAGAGAAAAAAACCCCGCACTGCATTTTACTTGCTAGTTTTCTTTCTGCTTGGAAGCAGCAGGCTTAAAAGAAAACCACAACAGCAGCAGCAAGTGTTCACATAATATTGTTGTAGAGATAATCATTTAATAAAAAGCAGAATAAAAGAACTTGAAATAGAACCAACTCCTTAAAGCAGAAGTGCTTTACTGTGACAGTTTGTATTTCCTGAGAAAGTCATCCTCCAGACAGAGAAGCCTTAGTTATTGAACTGCCTCTTACCTGAGCTGATCATACTGTGCATTCTTTGCTGAGCAAAGAGCTGTTCACGTCCAGAAACTCCATCTGAGGAAAAACACGATTCGCTCTCGTAAATTGTCTGCAGCATATTCCAATCAGTCTGTACTTCAGCTACATGAAAGATTCATCACTGTATACAGGGGTGTCAGGAGCTACCCTCTCTAATCCTACCTCCTTCGGGGGGGGGGGGGTTGGAGAAATAATAGACTTTGGTAATTAACAATATTTAAGCATTTGAATAAATATCTATTTAAAAAACAAAAGAATAATCCATTTTTGCTCTGCCCCAGTCTGCTGCAAAATAATAAGGAGGACTCAGTGGACTATGCACCTCTGAGTTGGAACAGTTGTGTTCTGGAAGCCAACAGCAGGTGGATGAAGAAATGTATTTGTGCTTCAGGCTTTCTTGTGGGGTGGTGGTGGGGAGAATAAAGCCACTTTAAAAAATAAAACCAAATAAGCACCGTTTCCAGGGACTTCAGCCCCTAAGGGCTTAGTTTCAATTACCCTCAGCCTTGACAAGTGTTTCTGTCTCTGTGCCCTCCTCCTTTCTCTCTCTCCTCTCCGTCTCTCCTCTCTCTCTCTATCTCCCTTTCTCTGTGTCTCTGCAAAGTTGGCTGAAGCTAGTGATAACTCATTTGCATATGAATCAACAACAGTGTGGCCCACAGGCAACAGAAATAGAACAATGGCCAGCCTGAGCCAAAAATAGGTCAAGCATGGCCCAGTGATTGGAGCCTGCATTAATGCACTTAAAAATACCACAGCAAACACAGCTGTCCAGTCTCTGTCTTTCAAACTGCAATTCTCTTGCCAATCCTCAAAAGTAATTAACCCTTTCCCACTGTCAAACTTATTTGTGCACAAATGTATGTTTCTGAGCAGCTTTTCAAGCAAGAAAACAAGAAGGGAACTATAAATTAAAATTCTAGATGTCTTTTATTTCTTTCTTTCTTTCTCCTCCGATCCTCCCCATGGGTATTTTGTGAAAAGAGAACAAAATGAGAAGGGCTCTGGATTGGTTCTAAAATAATACTGGAAGCTTTCGCTCATAATGTGGTTTCTGCCTCACCCACGCACAGCAATCCTGGCATTCTATTTTTGTTGCCTGTTTCTCTGGCTACGCTGCACTTGGCTGTAGCACTAGAATCTTGCTGCTGTCTTTTAGTTTCAGGTCCTACAGTACGCTCAGAAGCAGTGGCTTCTGAAACCAATCAGACTGCGGTGGGTGGGAGGCATATTAATGAGGGATCCATTTTTTCACTTTCATTATAAGCAGTTTGTTCATTTTTAGGATGATTGATATAGTCCTAATGTCTGTTTTCAACTGCAGTACGCATATTAGAGATGCGCTATTCCAGTGATTTATTAGTCTTTGGACAAGAGCTGCACTAGTCTGCCTCTCTCACAGCTTCAGCTCTAAACAATTTTTACTGCAGTTATCTGAGTTTAAAAGGAAACGTGGACTCAAAATAGCAGCTTTTAGACTTTCATAGAAACGTTAAAACTACATATTGCTGTGCATCTTGCAAGCTACTGTGTGATGCAATGTCAAGTGTAGCTGTTGCCTGCTCCCTTCTCCCCTTACTCCCAAGAACTGTTTATTTGCATTTTAAAAGGTAGGTGCAGATTATATTTGCTAATTAAGTACAAAGGTCTTTATACCTGCACACACAGAAGTAGATACGTAAATCAACGTTACAGATGATACACCTGGTTTCTTTTGGTTCAGTATTGCTATATAGAGTTTGCTATGTGTACGCAAATAGTGCACCATTGTTCTAGCCAAACCATATCAGCTTTTTAATAGACCATATAAAGAGTATAAACTAGCCACAAACCTCTCAAGAGGTACATCAGAGTATTCCAGTTCTGAGAAGGGGAAGGCAACCACAGCAGGTTAGTAATTACGCTACTAGAAAGTCAAATAAGGCAGCAGATGCACATGTTCAATTGTCCTTATGAGACTCAACTAATCTCTGAGCCATTTCAACCATACCTCTTTTCTCTCTTGGAGGTGCAAGGTTACTAAGCTGAACTATGGATTCAATTCTGCTTTTAGGTCAAGTGTAGAGAACTGAATTGTCTGTCACTGAACTGACAGGATAGAACTAGTTTCAGCACAGACAGTTCAATGCATCCACATTAGTCATGCTGATTCGGTCTAAATACCATTATAGCTGTAAACACAGATTCACATTAGCATTGTTCTAAATGTTTCAGTTGCAATGCCCTATGGGTAACCATCCTGTAGTTCCCCACACTGCTCCCAGAAGTGGTTTCTGGGACATTTATATAGACCATGGATGCACTGCGGGTCAGTAGCGGAAGGCCTGCTGGAACAATTTAATCCTGCATCCGCAGTCTGGCTGCCATTCTGATCAACCTTGCTTTAGGGTCCATACAAGGTTTTTTGTGTGGATTCTGTATCTCAAGACCATACATTTTAAGAATCTGCCTGATGATGACCCTCTACCACTGTTGAGCATATTGAAATATTGACTTCTCATTCCACCTTCACCACCCCCCATAATCATTAAAAGAGTTTGCATGATTTAGGGCAAAGAAAATCAAGGCAGAAGAATTCTAATAAGTGAAATGCAGGTATTTAACATGTGCAATATCATCAATAACAATAATATTTGAGTAATAGGTGTACATGAGGATGAAAATTAGGGGATAGCATGGACCTCAATTATCATTTTATATAGTGACCACTATTTATTTTATATAGTGACCACTCTTTTTAATGTAAAAAATATTCAACACATTATATATATCATCAAAAGAATAACAACATATGGAATCATTATAAATGATTACTAGTGTTCTCTCTCAATCAAACTACAGTTGAGTGTCCGCATATGAGTAATACCACTGACTACTTGTCATTGTAGTTTTCATCTGCAAATGCTAATGCTGATTTTTTGAAATCATTGCAACACAATACACCTCCTTGGCATGCACACAATATGATTGGGACTGTTACATCTACTTCTCATAGACTTACAAGGCATATCACTCTCACAAGAGTACTTTATTAACTCCAAAATATATGGAGGAGAACATAAGAATGGCCACACTGGGTCAGACCAAAGGTCCACATAGCCCAATATCCTGCCTTCTGACAGTGGCCTATGCCAGGTGCCCCAGAGGGAATGAACAGGTAATCATCAAGTGATCCATTCCCTGTTGCTCATTCCCAGCTTCTGGCAAACAGAGGCTAGGGACACCATCCCTGCCCATCTTGGCTAATAGCCATTGATAGACCTGTCCTCCATGAATTTATCTAGTTCTTTTTCTAACCCTGTTATAAGCAAGCATGACATTGTCTGGTACAGTTTTTGAAAACAGAGACTTGGAACTGTCATTGTGCATCCATCCATACTGCAGTGGATCAAGTGCCGGTGTCTCTGGATTCAAAGCACTTTTCCACACACATGCTTGAAAATGTACTCATTTTACATTTACTATAAATGCTTCAGTTGTTAGTGGTAGGAAACTGAGATTTGGTGTTGACATTTGCCATTTTTTGCTACTGATTTCTACCATGCTTCCGACATGGTGGCACAATTTGATTGTCCGTAGCATGCAGCCATGAATTTCAATGACATCAGGCATTGCTGCACTGAGTCATCCAGAAGAGGGAGGGAGCATCCAGCTCACAGAAACTCAAACATAGTGCTTTTGCTGAGGCCGAAATAGGAAACTACTGTATCACCTGAGAGTGCATGGGCAGTTAACAGTCCTGGTACAATGTTCTGGTGTTGCTCTGCAGGAGCACGGATGTCTATTACAGCTCTCTCTTGTACCTGGGTTCCAAAATCACGGAAGAGGTTAGACTCTGTTCAAGGTAGTGGTGCAAAAAAAAGACAAATACATCAGTGTCATCTGATAATAATGATATTACCAACAGACTATGTTTTGCAACCATCACTCTTTGTTGTGCAAGGATGTTGTTGGCTTCCTCATGAGAGGTGGCCATATACTCTCTATTGATCACTACATCTCACTTGTTTATTTCAGCTGTGGTGTTGTCACTGCCTGTGATGACTAGCGTGTGCTTTAATGTGTGTCACTGGTGAAATTTCTTGTCTTGTTAATGAGTTTGGTACAAACTATGCCAATCATCTGTGTCTTATTTTCAGTTACTATCAAGTAACCTTTCTGTGGAGGAAGCTGTGTACTTGTACTCAACTGACACACTCTGCTTGTTTCTGTAGCTCTGCTAAATCTTGTGCTGAAGTCTTTGTACCTGTCAAAGACAAGGTATACATCGCCTACTGCTGCCTTGTGTTTAATGTAATCTCTGAAACTGGTCACAAGTCGTTGATGATACCTCTTGCTGGCTAGTGTATTAGCCAAAGAACTACGGAACTGTCAATAATTGTGCAGGTTATCTCTTGTGAAGTATGCCTAGTTGACACCTCTGCCTGCAGCTGCTTCTATAGGTTAGACATAGCATGGGTAATCCTTATGTCACCAGAGCCAGTGAACATTGAGGTTGATACAGGAGCCAACTCACATGACAAAATATTCTTGATGCTCACCCCGGTAAGTGTCTTGTAAGCCTCTTGAACAGATAAGGTTAGTATCAAATATCTTTGTTGGACCAATCTGCACATGCTTTTTTGTCACTGCCAGTTGCTCTGTTATCCTTAGTATTGTGTCATAGAACTCTTTGGTCAGCCATGTTCAAATTCTTGCATTTGGCGAATTCCAATTTTAAGAGTGTCATGTACATTGATGGATGGTGGTGTCATTCCACCACTGACAATGTTTACCATTGACTTTGGGTGCTTAGTGGGGTGTAAAGGATTGATGCACAGCTCTAGTTTCTTACTAGTGGCTTCTCTGTCCCCACATCTGCAGCTATCCTTGACTTCATTTCTTCTTTGTAGAGCTCTTGTATTTGTGCCTCATTGGTGCTCTTTATGTTTGCAATGTCTTCTACCAGCCAGCTGCATATGTGGAGGCTACGAATCTAAGTCTTCAGGGTAATCCAAATGATGCCACTATGGCTGTGGCCATAACTCAAGAAAGTA